TACTTGATACACAGAGCATTCAATAAAATATAACACACAGTCATGATTTTTTAAGACTCTGAAGAAACTAGAAATAAAAGGAACTTCTTTAACCTGGTATGAGGTTATTTACTAAAAACACTACAGCAAATGTTTTACTTCACAGTGAAACATTAAAAGCATTCTTTTTAAAATCTGGAAAAAGACAAGAATGTCTGCTACTACTAATTTCATTCTACACTGTACTGCAGAGCCTAAGTGTTATAAAGCAAGAAGAAGAAATAATGTGACAAAGACTGGAATAAAAGCAACAAAACTTTTTATTCACACATTATCACCTACTATTATAAAATCTGACTGACAGACAGTAAAGAAAATCCTTAGAAATGGAGGCATGTATCATTTTCATGGAAGGCGAGGCTCAATATTTTAAATGTTGTGTCCAAAAATTGATTTCAATAAAAAGATGGTGAAGAGAATTGTCCTATCAGATACCAAGATTTACTGTAAAGCTACAGTAACTAATACAGTATGATTTAGTACTGAGACCAAAAGATTGGCAAAATAAACTGAAAGCCTAGGAATACACCCTCATATACAGGGACTTATACATATGCCCAAAGTGGCCCTGCAGATCAGAGGGAGGAAGAATGGTCTACTCTAACTAGCAGTCACATAACTAGTTATAGATATTTCTAAAACATGAAACTTGGTCTCTTCCTCACAACATAAACAAAAATCAATTTCTTACACATAGATTGAGGTCTTAAATTCTAAAGGTACGTTTAAAAGATTTAGAAAAAAATGTAGACTATTTTTATGATCTCAGAATATAGGACTTCTTAAATAAAATGAAATTAAGTCACGAACTAATTTCAAAATTAATCAATTTTTTAAAAATTGATAAATTGGAATTCATGAGTATTAAGAGTATCTTAATTCATGAAACGACCCTTGAAAGAAAATGAAGAGCCACAAATTGGAAAAAAGGAAAATGTTACCCATAAACTGACAAAGGATTGGTTTCTCGAATACATAACAAAAAAAAAAATTTTTAGGAAATGTCTTAATACTAAGATTCTATTATCACAAAATAAGGCTAACAGTATAAAAATATTGACCAAAGCTGATTATATTCTGCTGCTTTTAAGAAAAAGATCATGGGAACCTACTTTCTGCCATCAAAATATCAAGTTGCTTTTATGATTTTAAACTCCATAACCTATATGCTATGATGTGCAGTTGAGCATGATTGGCAACTTGTGAATAGAAGACTCTCAACTTTTTTAAGAAAAGCCTCAAGTAGCTGCTACTCTCTGACAAGGTTAATTCATGCACAGCTTACAGAGAGAGGGGAAGGCAGAGGACTGTGTTAAGGCAGAGATGTGCAGTGTGGGCTGTGGGTAACTGCTTGTTCCTGAGACTTTAATTATTGGTATCAAAAGTTAGACACTGGCGTTTAAATTCCCCTACCTCTTATTCCTCCAATATTCCCTTGAAAAGAGGATCACACTCCAATCTTCCCTGTTTTGCACCAGGTATTTCTAGGCTGCAGAAGAAAGTGCTCTTTTCTGATTTGTGGTACCAGAGAAGAGTTTTTACCTCCTGGGTGCATTTTCTACCTAAAATTTCTAGCTAGTTAACACAGCAAAGTGACTGTGATGTCCACGCCCTCTAAGTAACAGAATGAATAAACAGAATGACTGTATAAATGGGCTGTGACTAGAATTTCAAATCAGTCTAGAAGGACAATTTCTTTACTGAAACCCATCTACTTTGATTCACTTTGGGGTTCCATGGTAATTTTTCAGCACCTGCAATATTTCAAAATTTTATGGCATAGGTTTATCAGTGAACAAGAAATGAAGTATCAGATGTTATTAAAACCCCCTTAACACAGTCAGGAAGAATGAAGAAGGGCACCAGAGTACAAATCAACATAATGATTCCTCTACTTCATTCATTTAAATGAAACATCTTTCTCTAATGGGAGAGAAACTGTCAGCGTTAAAACTTGCACTTACAGAGCTTTCATTTTTTACTCTGTAATTACTTAGCGTGGTACCTTTACAATAGACCTGCAGAATGAGTTTATAAAAATATTGAGACAGATAATGGAAAGGTTAAGTGCAGTGCCCAATACAGTTAACATGGTGGTTAAGTGCTCTTCAGAAAGACTGATCCGAGTCCCATTTTTAGCTCCACCACATTATGTAATAGCTGTGTGATCTTGGACAGGTCACTTAGCTTCCCTAAGTCTCAATTTCCTCCTTGATAAAACATTGTTAACAGTACTAACTCACTGTTGAAAGAATTAAAAGTAGGGATAAACAACCAAAACATACAAGACATTTTTATAGTATAATTCTTAACATAGAGTGATTGCAGTGAATAATTATACAATTATTGTATGAGAATGTTTTTTATATAACACAAATACATATACACATATATATTTCTATAATCTCAGGAGTCACTCTTGTTCTTGACATAATTTACCAAAAAATATTTTTTGTGAGTACAAAAACATGCTCATAAATAATCATTCTTCACCTGAAACTGAAACAGGCATGTATTAATCAACTATAATCTTTCAACAGACTCCAATAAACCAGAAGTGATAACGTAATCAAACAGAGGAGAAAGATAGGAGCTAAAGACAGAACACAAGCAATGAGACATAGAGTGCTATTTAAAACTGAAAGTATGGCTCTGGCTGGTGTGGCTCAGTGGAGTGAGAACCTGCCTGCAAACCAAAAGGTTGCTGGTATGATTCCCAGTCAGGGCACATGCCTGGGTTGCCAGCCTGGTCCCTGGTTGGAGAACCATGAGAAGCAACCAATCAATGTATATCTCACACATTGATGTTTCTCTCCCTCTCTCCCTCCCTCCCTCCCTCCCTTCCCCTCTCTCTCTTAAAAAAAAAATTATGATAATGGAAGGGTTTTTTCCTTAAAAAAGAAAAAAAGCATGACATTCAGTGTAAGAGAATACTTACTAAATATTCAACCTTGAAAAAAGGGTTTAAGTTATACTTTTAAATTCAGTAATATATTAGACTCTCACAATTCACAATATGCATCATCCCCTAATTCACAGATGATTAGGTAGGACTAGTAAAACTAATAATTACAACATTGGCTATCATGCTGTAGTCAGCCAATTATGCCCAAAGTATTTTGTACAGCTTTTCTTATTTAGTCTTCACAATAAGTGAGTGATGAGAAGAAGGAATTTAAAAACAAACAAAAACAAAAAGCAAAAAAACCCTGTTATCCCTATAAACATGAACTGAGGATATGTAATTTGTCCATGGTTCCGGTCAGTAAGTGACAGAGCAGAGATCTGAATCCACAATTGTTACAAGCCCAAAAACCAATATCCTTTCTAGACAGAACATCAGGACACTGAACTAAATAACCCCGACGATGCCTTGTGTAGCTGGGACCTAAAACTCCCTTCCCTAATGGGTTAATACACCTGAGGGTCCATGCCCCTTTCGCACCTCTCCAGACCTTAGCCGCTTCAGGGAGTAAAGCAAGAAAGGGAGAAACAGAAAGGAAGAGTTACTTAAGTCAAACCTTTCACAGATACGAAGGGGTGATCTGGAGCACTAAGAAAATGAGAGCTTGAGGAAGGGAAAGCATTTAGACTGGCCATTAGAGAAGGACCTCCTGACAATGCACACTGAGACGCTGAAACCCATTATCCGAGAACATTATGTAGGATAAACCGAAGAAATACAGCCTCGTGAAGGGCTGTCAACACACAAATAGTGTCAACATACACACAAGATGGGGAAGTACAAATATAGCCTACTTGGCTCAGCCTCACTTATAGTCTAAAATAGAAAAGAAAAGATGAAAAGTGGTGAAATAAGCCTGAAAGCAGCAGTCAGGAGATCACACTACAATTCTGCCAGCCTGCATTAAGTTAGCAAAACGCTAACCCAAATATTTGTGCCATATTTCTCAGAGGACTCATCAGTGCACAGGTACCATTTTATATTTTCCTACAATTCATTATCCATTGAGACACAACATCTTTATTTCCTCTGCAAAGTTGTATTCGTACTGGTAAAATAAAACCCCAATTTTGTTAATTTCTTAAGTATGTGTTGGGAGAAATCTGAATGAAAAAATAACATCAAGGTAACTTCCTTCTGGGATTAAAAACAAAAGCAAACAAAAAAACTTACAGAGATCTGGTGGATTTGTTAGATAGGAGAGTTGTGTTTGTGTCAAGGCTACGTCCCTCCTCTCACCCACAGGCAAAGACCCAAAGTTGACTGGCTTAGGACAGCCAGCCATCTTTGAACGGCGTGTCACAAGCCTTTTCAAAATATCCAGTACTGGACTATTTACTCAGGGCGCTGACCTCTCTTCCCTTAGATTGTCAAATAAAAAAATGAGGACAGCCAATACAACAACAGCCATGTGGTGTGAATAATCAAAATTATATCTATTTATTTTGTCAGATCAGCAAAGAATACATATTTTTTTGGTGTGCCGGAGAATTTCAGAAATTGTCTGTGTGCGCCAAGAGGTGAAAAAGGTTGAAAATCGCTGCCTTAGGAAGCTGCAGGGTCCTAACAACTTTGTTTTTTCCTTTCCAATTTTATCTGAGTTTTAATGTGAACCTTTATTAATCTGTAAAAAATGAGACATCCACATGTTCCTGGTGGTAACAGGATTCTCTTTACTTTCATTATGAAATGTTTTTTTAGGATAATTACGTTATCATCAGGAAAAGGGGGGATTTTTCCATTAAAAAATAAATAAAGTCAAGTAAACCAAGTTATTGCTTTTGAATTCTTTCCTGTTTTTCTCTACAGTCACTGCCACCCTAAAGAGATGTAATGTCTCAGCCTCTGGTCCCACCTACACCTGTTCCTTTTACACAAAACAGAAAAGACTTCTGACCATGACTAATTTGGTTCTAATAATACATGCCATGAAAATAGAGCAGTAGAGAGCATACCTACTTGTTTCTGGGAGACTTAAAATATAGGGCAGACCTACCTTGCGAGTAGAGAAGGATCTGCATCTCTAAAAGAACACAGGTGAACACCTGCACCAGGTTCTCCAATCCCAGGAGCTCAAAGGCCTCTCGAAGAGGGTAATCGGAGAGGGGGAGTTCACTGGGCCCAGGCCTCTGGCAGATGATGGGTTCATAAACACCATAAAATTTCAGCGATCTCCCTGGAGGTGGAAGGGGCACCTCGTAGAGAATATTATGGATGTAGCTCTCCAGCGGCAAGGGTGGTGGCTGCTGTGAGGTAACTGCCTTGTAAAGCTGGATGAGGAATTTCTTGCAGGCCTGCATGAAAGGCAGTGGTGTGATCAAACATATACTTTTAGAAACATACAGGGTGTCTCTGCTGATGTCATAGGAGTTGTATCGCTGGAGTTTCAAAAGAGAAGTTGCATCTCCCTCGTCAATGCTGCTCGCCAGAGAGTCCATGCTGCAGGAGGAGGAAGCGCAGACACTGCTGTAATGCTCCGCATTGTGCATCTGGTAGAGCGTCTGCATTGCCGTGCAGATTTGCTTACTTGTAACTTCTTCATAAAAAGTGAGAACAAAACCGTAGGTACGAGAACCATCTTCCCGGGTAATTATAAATGAGTGGAACTGAGGGTCTCTATTGTCAGTTTGTGTTCTGAAAGATAGCCCTTTCGGCATGCACAACTGTGGAGGAAGCGGGGAAAAGCATCAGAATGCAGTACACCATGAACTACTTCAAACCAGAAATAAATGTTTGTGGATCTCTATCCAAGCTTGTTGCCTTCAGCAAGTCACGTAACTTCTCTGAGCCACAGTTTCTTTATCTACATTATTTGCAACATCGGTGACTTGAAGACAACATAAACAAAGGCACTTGACAAATATTTAAGTACTATTTTTAGAGTAATGATGATAATGTTTCAAAGAAATAGGGAAATAGGTAAAGCCTTATTAGATAAATAGAAAAAAGTTAAATGCACAAGAATAAAAAGTTATTTTCTCTATTTTGAGTAATATGATACTTTATCCTAAAAAAAATAAACTTTGAAAGTGGAATGATTTTTGATTTACTGAAGCAGAGGGCAGAAACCAGATATTTTGGATTATTTCCAGTAGAGATTCAGGGGTGTCCAATCTTTTGGTGTCTCTGGGCCACACTGAAAGAAGAGTTGTCTTAGGCCATACATTAAATACATTGCGACATGTAATCACACACAAAAAAATCTTGTAATGTTTTAAGTAAATTTCCAATTTTGTGTTGGGCCACATTCACAGCCATCCTGAGCCGCACACGGCCCGCAGGGCACAGGATGGACACTCCTGCTAGATCTTGGGAACTACCCAGGATTCAATCAAATTTGGGAATAAAATTACCTGAGGAGTTAAAGATGTTATATTTAAGGCACTTAAAATGGATAAGAAATGACAATTGATTCTTTGAAACTCTTCTAAAATATTTTAAAAGAAATTTGTTTTAATTACAGAAAATTTGAAATATACCAAGGAAAACAAAACTTAAAATTCAACTACCCTAACATGATCATTATTCATTTATATATATTCCTTTTTACTTTTATATTACAATATGCTTTCTGCACAGAAATAATTGTATTATACATTATTACATTACATTTTTATTTTTTTCCCAGACTTGACCGTTGATATGGTATAAAACTAAGAGGATCTTCCAAATCAATCCCACATTACCAAGAAACACTTTACAATTTACCTTAAAAATTACATGTACTTTAGTCAAACTCTCAACAAACACTAATTGCCTTTATGAGCTAGGCCCTTGATGGCGATACAAGATGCAACAGACAGACAGGGTCTCTGCTTCCTTGGAGGTTCTAATCCCATGAAAATGACAGGCGATTAAAAAATCATAAAGTATAGGAAGTCCTATAATAGGATAAATACAGGCTGTTACGAGAAAAACAGCATAAAAACATAAATGAGAAAAGGTGAGCTACCAGGGGAAAAAAATGAAGAAAATCCAAGCAGAAGCTGAGCAGAAGCTGTGGGTCTTACATGAAGAGGGGCAGACAGGACACCGTGTGCAAAAGTCTAGAAGACAGAAGAGGAGGGTCGGAGGAACTGACACTCATTGGGAGTGGGGAAGAGGAAGTAGAGTGGAGGGAGGTAAGAGAGAATGCAGGAGAAATAATTAGGGGCTTGGTCCTGACTGGCCTTGGTGAGTCACGTTAGACATCTGAGGACACTGGGAAGCCTCTGAAGGGTTTTTAGCAGGAGGGGGACAGAATCAGACATGCCTTTTTGCTTATCAACCTTCCTGCACTGAAGGGCAGTGGTTTTCAAAGGGATCCCAAGGAGGTGGCAAGAATGCCTCAGGGACTTGGGGTCACCTTTGACATCTCTTTTTCTCCCTCATCCCATTATCCAATCCAACAACAAAGACCATCAGTTCTACCTTCACAAATATATTCAGAAACAAATTCCCTCATTCTGTCTTCATTCTTACCACTCCTAAGAATGGTGTAACCTACCTCACACTCCTCTTTGCATGATAACTATTTAACATCCTGCTAATGAGTCTTCTGCTTTTGCCTTTGTCCCCCCTAATCTATTCCTCCTTTGTAGCCAAAGTAATCCTTAAAAAAATGTAAGTTAAATCTTGTCACTCTTCTCAAAATCCTCCAACGGCCTCTCATCTCCTTAAAAGCTGAAATCACTCTTGCTCCATGTTAAACTCAGACTTGTTTAGCAAAGTGCATGACACATAACTGTTTGTTGAATGAATGAATGAATGAATGAATGAACTCATTAATTAACACACACACACACACACACACACACACACACAAAACAAAAACAAAAGCTGGGGGTTATAGGATCAGACTAAATTCATCTCTTGATTCAGTCTGTAGTTCTCTTTTTACATCAAGTAGGCAATAAAGAAACAAAGTGACCTCCAAAGTCAACACAAAGATTTAATTTAATTGATAGGCTTTCCTGACACCATAAACCACAAAATAACAGCTTGAACAGTTTTTGAACAGCTGCCAAATATTCCCTTAAGGGTTTGTAGCTTTCTTGAGCATACATTCAAACATTTACAGGGAAAGCTTGCCAAAAGTTGTGTTCAAAGTAAAGAATGACTTTCTATGCTACAGACAACAGATGTTAAGAATTCTGAAATTCTCTTCCTACAAGTCAAAAAAAGTAAAAATTATATTTCTAATCTGAGAAATCATGAACTGGAAAATGCTACTACTTTTTCATTTTTAAAAGTAAGAATTGTTAAATTAATCATCGGGTTTATTTTTTAAGAAAACCTGAGCTATAAATCAAGATATTCACTATGGAGTTCAACAATATTTTGTCATCCCCTAATATTGCCGTTTACAAATAAAAATATCTACCCTCTGCCTTCCCCACACCACTCTCTCACAATAAAATAACTAAAAATTCAAGAGTTATCAATGACCAGGTTGCCAGTGGTATTCAGATTACTTTAGACAAAGTGGGCTCACAATGCTGTGTATAGCTTCTCGTCTGAGTGACCAAATGTCCTTAATTGTCTTTCTGTACTCTTTCAGGAAGTTTGGCTGAAAGTGTAATAATTCCTTTTTCCATTTTTCTATTGTTCTGTGACTCCTATGCCCCCCTCTCATTACACAAATAAAAGAGAAATTACTAAGAAAACTCTCAAAAGAGTTGGTCAGTGTACCTTCCTTCCTTTTCTCCTTCCTTTCTTCCTTTAATAAACATTTGTTTTATACCACATACTGTATTAGATCTTGATAACTCAAAGACAAATATGAAAATAATCCCTTATTTCAGGGAGTTCACAGTTTAATAGGAAAGACAGACATACAGGGTGGGGCAAAAGTAGGTTTACAGTTGCTCGTATGGAAAATAACACAGTAATCAATAAATGATAATACAAGAATAAACTCTGTTTTACCTACTCACAGCTGTAAACCTACTTTTGCCCCAGCCTGTATAAACCTATGGTTACAAAATGATGTGATCAATTCTGCTGTGGGGTGTTTAAGATGTTCTAGAAATAGGGAAGAAAGAGCACCTAACTACTACCTAAGAGATAGTTTTGCAGTGGAGGCAACACCTGAATAGACAAGGACAGGGAAGGAAAGTATTGCAGTATGGTAAACAAATAAACATTCCTTCATTTATTCAATGATTTGAACCTCTACTACATGCAAATCTAGGGATATAGCAAAGCGTTCCTGTCCCTGTGGTGCCTACATTATAGCAGGAGACACAGAGTTGAAAACTAACTACATAATTAACTACACTTGTGATAAATGCTACAAAAGGTACAAGGTGCTAAGCGAACCCAAGGGAACCTGACTGAATGTTGAAAGGTTGGTAGAAGGTGGTGGTCAAGAATGGCTTTTTTGAGAAAATCATGTTTAAAATGAAATCTGAAGGATCAGGAAGAACTCACTGCATGAAGGAAGGACTTCCAAGAGAAGCGATGGCATAGGAAGTGACAGCGAGAGGCGTGGAAAGTACGGGAGAAGGCGGCCAGCTGGACAGCTTCTGCAGGAGTCCAGGGGAGAGCGAGGTGGTTGGGGCTATGGTGGGTGTGCAGAAACGGAGAGAAGTAGATAGAAAACTGCTTGTGTGGAGGGAGGGTGAGAAAGTGAGAACTTTCAGGGATGATACTGTAATTTTGACTTAGGCAATTAGATAGATGGTTGTACTGACCAGAGTTGGGAAGATTGTGAAGCCAGTTTGGACAGGCTGAGTTTGCGATACCAGTATGATATTCTAGCTGTAACGTTAAGAAAACAAGTGGGCTTCCCCAGTAATGACTGGATTAGAATCCCATTCTTCTGGGTTTACTGTGAGACAAAAACTTGGGTCAAACTCAGTGCTTATTCTCATTCTAATGTCAAACCTATTAATGCAACTAAGGATTATTCGTTTCAAATTCCTGTAGAGTGTGTAAAGTATATATAGTGCCCTTTTTCCTTTGAATCTTGCAAGGTGGGCACCTAAATAGGTGTTCGCCAGCCAATACTTCTCCCTTTACTCTTTGCTCATCATTCCATTCCACCCTTCTTCGTGACCAAAGTAAATAGCAAATTGTAAACTGACAGCTTTATAGATTGTAAAGAGCTGTGTAATAGCTGTTGCTCTTTTTAATTCTCGGAAATACCACATCTCAGATGTTTTATTTAGGACAGACACACAAAACAATCTTTATATTTCATATAACTTGCTTAGCAGGTACTGACCATATTTTCTTAACAACTCCCAGCTTGACTACATTCTTAAGGATAAGATCGATGGATGCCAAAGTACATTACCTCAAAAAGATCTGAAATGGGGGGAAAGGCAGGGAAACTTCAGCTCTGTTTACAATGTCTTGTTTCATTTAAGAGGAAAGGTGTGGCTCTGAAGCAATTTGTCAATGTTGACATATGTTAGTCCTAGGTGGGTTTAAGATTGCTTGTTGTAGTGTTGTCTGTTTTATAATACTCCCATTTTTTTAAATAAAAAACTCTGAATCAGCAACCAAAAGAAAGATAAAAAGCAATTTATTCAGAAACAATTTCACTTGTCACTTTTATCTATTTTCTACTATCTTTGCATTGCACTCATACACATGAAATCTTTTTATTTAATAAAGTTCACTGCTTCGGGGTACTTAATTTCTGTGTGAAATTAATGACTCTTATTTCAAAGCACCACTGTTGCCTGTTAGAGGAATGACTGATACTACAGGAGGTGGCGACTCGTTGGAGTGGGGTTTTGCCAACGGCAAGAACAAAGCTTTATACCTTTAGGTGGGAATAAATTATAGCTTCATACAAATGCACTTACAATAAATCAAAGAGGAAGTTAAGGGCAGTAAATCTATGACCCAAATGCAGACTAATTTAATGGGATGCTTTTCAGCGATTTTCAGGGAGTGCCAGCAAATCCTTTTAGATTTGCAGCAATAAACAAAATGCTGGGTGATGCTTAACCCTGCCTATGTGAGGCAAGGGGTAAAGAAAACAACAAATGCAGAGCAAAAAAATGGAAAATTATTTTAAAAGGGAGTGTTCTGCAGAGAGAGGCAAAAGCTATCACAAATATCTCACTTTTTTAATCCATTCAAACGGTTAAAAGAAAGAAAACACATCAACTGTGGTATTCAGTTGCAAATGACTGGGTTCACACTATAAGTAAGACCCTCATTTTTGGACACCATTCTGATTTCTCACAGAATGATTTATACTTTGAAATATCTCACTAATTTAAGAGGATAATCTACTAATTTAAGTGTTATAATCTACTTATCTTATTCATTTTCCATTGCTTCATTTTGACACTATATTCTTTAAGATTTTTCCATTAATTTGCTGGCATAAATAGCTTATAAATTATTTTTTGTTATGCTGTTTGTTGACTGTTTAGTCAGAAACTTGTCTGTGCTTCTCCCAGTCTCATAAATATAACAGTGGTGTTCTACTTAATACCTGTAGTTTTCTCTTCACCAAAGGTGAGCTTGGGCTCCACAGTATTAACTTCCAGCAAAATAGCATCTCTGATTATTTTGGTATTAGGTGACCGTTTAGAGAAATAACTACACTGTGCTCTGTAATGAATCAAAGTCAAAGTACCAAGTGGCTTAAGCACCACTCCTTAGAAAAATCAGCATGCCATTTCCTCACTGGTGCACAGGTTTACTGTGATATAGAAATACCAGCGGGTCAAGATGGAGGCGTAGGTAAACATTGGTCACCTCCTAGCACAACCACAGTAAAAATTACAACTAAACTACAAAACAATTATCACCCAGAATCATCAGAAAATTGAGTTGTATGGAAGTCCGACAACCAAGAAATTAAAGAAGTCCCATTCATCCAGGAGGGTAGGGGGTGGAGGCATGGTAGATAAAAATCGTGAGGGATACCTCAGGAGCAAGGGATCTCAGCCCCACACCAGACCACCCAGCCCAGGGTTCCAGTGCAAGGAAGATAAGTCCCCATAACTTCTGGCTGTAAAAACCAGTGGTGGTTGGGGCGGAAGAAGAAACTGCGGGATTCTCAGGCGTCTCTTCCTAAAGGGCCCACAAGAGACTTAAGACTTCTGCAGACTCACTCCTCTGGGCTCTAGCACCAGGGCAGCAGGTGCAAGGGCATCAGTGGCATATGGGGAGAAACTGAAGTGTCTAGTAGCAGGACAAGTGCCGGGGGACAGCTCCTCCCAGACAAAACTCCAGAGGCCAGGCAACGGCCACTGCCTCTTTTCTGAGCCCTCCCTCATAAGGAGCCACAGAGCAGTGACGCTATAGCTGAGACTCCATCAACCTGGTTCATGCGGGTTGACCCACACTTGTTGATTACCTAAGGCTCTGCCCCATCCAACTAACGGGTGCACTTTTCTACAACAGGCCGCGCTACTAAGACAGGGAGTTGAAGAGCTCTACCTAACACACAGAAACACACACAGGGAGGCTGCCAAAATGAGCAGACAAAGAAACATGGCCCAAATGAAAGAACAGAACAAAACCCCAGAAAAAGAACTAAAGAAAATAGAGATAAGCAATCTATCAGATGCAGAGTTCAAACACTGGTTATTAGGATGCTCAGGGAACTCCTCGGGTACTTCGGCAGCATAAAAAAAGATACAAGCAGAAACAAATGTTATAGTGAGTGAGATAAAGAAAAATTTACAGGGAATCAATAATGGAGTGGATGAAGCCAAGAATGAAACCAATGATTTGGATCATAAGGAAGGAAAAAAGCATTCAATCAGAACAGCAAGAAAAAAAAGAATCCAATAAAACGAGGATAGTATAAGGAGCCTGGGACAATTTCAAACATACCAACATTCAAATCATAGGGGTGCCAGAAGGAGAAGAGAAAGAGCATGAAATTAGAAATCTATTTGAAAAAATAATGAAAGAAAATTTGGTGAAGGAAATAGACATACATATCCAGGACGCACAGAGTGTCCTAAACAAGATGGACACAAAAGAGGACCATTCCAAGACACATCATAATTAAAATGCCAAAGGTTAAAGATAAAGAGAGAATCTTAAAAATAGCAAGAGAAAAGCAGAGTTACCTACAAAGGAGTTTCCATAAGACTGTCAGCTGATTTCTCAAAAGAAACTTTGAAGGCTAGAAGGGACTGTCAACAAGGATTCAAAGTGATGAAATGCAAGGACCTACAACCTAGATTACTCTATCCAGCAAAGCTATTGCTGAGAATGGAAGGGCAGATAAAGTACTTCCCAGACAAGGTAAAGCTGAAGGAGTTCATCATCACCAAGCCAGAATTATATGAAATGTTAAAAGGACTTATTTAAGAAAAAAAGGGATCAAAACTATGAACAATAAAATGGCAATAAATTCACAACTATCAACAACTGAATCATAGCTATGGAGATCATTTGGAGGGTTATCAATTGGGAGGAGGAAGGAGAATGGGGGGAAAGGTGCAGGGATTAAGAAGTACAAATTGGTAGGTGCAAAATAGACAGGGGGGTGTAAAGTGCAGTATAGGAAATGGAGAAGCCAAAGAACCTACATGCATGAGCGATAGACATGAACTAAGGGAGGACTGAGAGAGGGGGTAGGGGGTACCAGGTGGAGGGGGGCAAAGAGGGAAAAATTGGGACAACTATACTAGCATAATCAATAAAATATATTAAAAAGAAATACCAAAAAGGTCCAAGGTGACCCATATCATTTCGGTGCAAGTCAAAACCAAGTTACATAGTTTTCTTTGGGGAAGAGAGCATACAGGTGTGGGAGAAAAGTGAGCTAGCGGGAAAAATGGCCTGAATTTAACTTGTGAGACTTCCTGCACAACTTTGGGCAAGTAACTTAATCTCTGTAAAATGAGTTAAAGTCTTTACTGGGTACATGTAAGCATGTATGTAAAAGTAACATACATGAAGTATGTAGCAGGCATCTACTAAACATTAATTTCCCTCCCTATGGTATCATATCATAACAGGGTCTTTTGGCTCTGCCTTTAAACCAGTAAAAACAAACAAACAAACAAACAAACAAACTGTATTGATCACTGTCTTAATCCATCTTTAATCACTTCTGTGCTCATCATTCCTGACCTCTAATTTGCTCACTTTGGGGCCCCCTTATTTTTATAATCACAGAGTTCATGGGGGTCTTAAATATTATCCAGGCTTCTAAACAGGGCCCTCTCTAAATGAGTTGAAAACTATGGCCTACTTATGCCCAAGAATCTCTAAAGGACTTATAATCACCACTAGTACTTCATTTTTTTTTTCACTACTGGTAATTCATTGCATTAATTCAAATTTCTTATAGACAAATTGCTACTGTCTAAATGATGCACTGAAGTTCCTTTCCCTATTTGTGGATTGTGATAAATTACAGGCCCATTATACAACCTTCCTTGAAATATGAAAATTGTAATCATACTCCTTCCATAAGGATTCTTTCCAGTAAAATAAAGTAATATCACTGTTTATCAAAGCCACCTATGTTTTAATTAATACAAACTTACAACACAGTTTAATAGTAGGAAAATAAAATGAGCTTAGAAGGTCTGTTGTATACACTTATTTGCTATGGAGGCCATAGGCAAGTTACTAAAAATCTCCGAGTTTCATTTTTACATCTGTAAATGAGGATATTGTATAAAAAGATAAAGGATTAAATTAAATGAAATAATATAGGAAATTCAAAATAGTCACTATTGTCATCTTAATAAAATAATAAGACGGCTAAGGAGGAAAAGAAAAACACATACCATGTTCACTGCATCTTGATCAAAAGGGTTCCATTCTATATTCTGAGGATAGTGGGCTAGAACCTTGGATTTGAATGTTCTTCTCAAAGGACTCTGGTCAAAATTTTCACCTATAACAAATAATTAACAATTAGTTAATATCTAGAATTTTTTAAAAAGCACGTCATTGTTTTATTTTTACGTTGTAGCTATATTAACTGATAATGTTGAAATCTAATCCAACTTCTACCTCTATCAGTCTTCATTGTAAAATTCTCAATGAGTAACTGAAAAAGAACTGTTTAATAAGAGGTCCGCATTTAAGACTTTAGAATTTGAATTTTAAAATCCTGGCTAGATAACTGATACTGAAACTCACATGATAAAATAATCCTTGCTGTAACCTAATTATTGCCCTCACTCCAATATATGGTGATGAAGGTATCTACTTGGAAACATTTACTTCATTAAAAAATCCTGAATTAAGCTGTTCGTACCTCTTATGATCCCCAAATTTTGTACATGTACTGACCCAATGGTACAGAGCTCAAAGGAGGCAATGGGCTTAAACTTTCACAAAATTCTCTGGTAAGTGTGACTGCATCGCCAAGCTTTTACAAGTGATAGTATTAACGGAATTAGAAACATCATTACTGAGTTGTCTAGTTTAGTAGACATTAAATACACAAACTCTGAAAAGAAACAATCTATTCCAAGCCAAATTCATCACCTGTCAAAAATATGAAAAGTAGGCTACACTTTATTATATATAAGAAAATTTAATAATACTTGTCAGCTCAGTTCTTTATCTCCTTGAACAAATTAACTCCCATGAGACCTGTTACCTACTAAAGCCTTAGTTTCATAAAATATTTTAATATGGATGGATCTTAAATTCTCATTGTCAAAAAGTTGAGATTGAGGAATTAGAACACCTTGGAACAACATTATTCTGTCTACTGTGTTTTTATATTTTTTAGGCTTACTTTTTAAGCATAAAACATGAGCTGTTATATCAAAAGATAAATCCCATTTACTGTATTTATTTGTACAAGTAAAAATATCATAAAGCAATTTGAGTCACATTTGGACATGAAGTCAGACTCAGTTTCCATTTTTAGTAAAAATGCAAAAAGATGAATATTTAAAACACTTTTTAATGCAAAACTTAACTCATCATAGGAAGGAAAAATCATACTCTAAAATCTTGCTGGAGACTGCAATATAAAATACACAGGAACTTTTTTGAACAAAGGCACATTATTTAAATAAGTTTGCTGCAAGTAACCTTCTGTTCCTAATTTAAGCCCTTGGCTAATGGTCATTTTCCTTTGGGTTCCTCTTATTTAGGCAAGCACTTCATCTCTGTATCTTTTTACCCCATATTTTCATCTAATAGAGAGTAGAGAGCTTTTGCTTCGAGAAGAAAAATGTCAAAGGCATCCCTAGGGAAAGTTCATCAATTTTTGCAACATGCTTCTAGGGTATGTAAACATCGAAAAGTCAGTGGAAAAATGTGAAGCTGACCATGAATTAAAGTGTCTGAAGAAAAGAGCTGAGGTTTAGAATGGTTCATTTCAAGAACGGTGAATGACATCCCTAAGCTAATACTGGATTCGCAAGCAAACACTAAGATTTTTAGATTGGTCATGTCTTCATTAAAAAAGAAAATGTTTACTTTTTACTTCACTTCAAGTGCGGGGGGGAAAAAATAAAACAAAAGCTCCCTCCTGGTTCTAAAGGTCTATCTGCTAACTGCACTATTAACACAGCAACAGGATATCCCCAGAAAATACAGAGCCATCAAGAAACTCTCCTTCACCCACCGTCAAATACCCAAAGTGCTTATTTTTATTATCCATAAATGTAAATAAAATATGAAACACTGTGGGGCAAAAGAAACTGCACATACACAGGCTATAACTCCTTGAACACTTACCTTTTAATGAATTCCTGCCTGAGTTCGGTTAAAATAGTAACATTATCTTGATTCATACATCAAGTTATTAATAGGGCAGCAGATAAATCAAAAAATTCATGACAGTGCCATTTTCAATATAACTGTTCTCTTAACTAAGGAACACCACACCCTCTTAAGACCCAATTAATCACCAGGAGAGAAAGAAAACCACCTCCAGAGAGAAAAAAATTTCACAAAAACAAAAACCAGAAAAAAAACCCATGAAACAGAAACACAAATCTAACAAAAGAAAAACAGAACCGCCACCTCCTTTTATTAGACTACGAAAAAGAGGGCTGGAGAGGGGACACAATAGGAAAGATCCTTGCTATACATACAGCTGTCTTGGCAAATATTATTTTGAAGGAAACTCGGGGAAGAAACAACCATGTAAAAATTCTGGTAACACTGCTAAGGATTTAAAAATGAGTGGATGCAGTTATTCCTACTAGTACAGGTCAGAGAAGAAAATCTTGGACATGCCTTTTGGAGATGTGAAATGGGCAAATAACTTTATCTTCTCATTTTGGGCCCATGTTTCATAGACCTCTAAAAGACTAGGACTTAGCAGGAGAAATAAATCAGTCTAACAATTTGGATTCCCAGGAACTGGAAATTATATATGAGCTTCCTTTACTTAAAATCTATCTTTCAAACATTATTCTGAAAATAACAAGGATTATAAATTTGTGCTAATATTACTATTCCCCCACAACTACACATAGAGTTAGTTTCAAGTAATACTGTCAAGTAACCTCCTACTAAATCTAAGCTGCAATGAAGTCTTGCCTTCTAAGAAAACAGGACATATCTGCCAAGAGAGCTTAAAGAAGGGCTCATGAATAATTTTTTTCAGGGCTTGAAGAAAACGCCATCTTTAGGAAAATTAAGATGCAGATGAGAGAACAGAAATACAAAATAATACCTATTTTTTGCCTGAGCAAAACTGAGTAAAGAAACAATTATGATGGGCTTGCGTGAATTAAAATAATGATTTCTAACACCTCAACTTTTTATTTTTACCTGAGGTCGTATTTGCAGCACCTTGGCTCTTGCCATGACGATCTGCTTCTAGCCATTGGTACAAAACTACATAATGTAACAGAAACAAAAAAGCTTTATGAACAAATAAACAAACAAAAAAGCAAAAAATTGACTTTGAAGAATGGAAAATGAGAATAAAAAATTAAATAAAAGCAATTAAACATGAGACATTATCATCAATGGAATGTAACAATACTAACAGTAGGCAGCTTAAAAGCTATTAGTAGTAAGAAAGCAAAGAGAATAGGTTATTGTATTTCATTGTAATAAGTAAAATGTTATTTAAAAATTGCAAGTTACTTAATAGGGGCAAAGCACACACACTCTTAACGGTAATTTGAAGAGAAATATCAGGAGAAAGCTAAGGTTTCTATAGTCAGATATAACAAAATATGATAGTAAGACTAAAAAAAAAATTATATCCCAACCTCTGCACACCCATCAGAATGGCTGAAATCCAAAAAACTGACTTGCTGACAAGTATGCAAGTGACAGAACTCTCATAAATTGCTGGTGGAAATGCAAAATAGTACAACCACTTTGGGAGACAGTTTGGCCATTTCTTACAAGTCTAAACATAGTTTCATCATATGATTTTACAGCCGCAGTATACTCTGGAGAAAAACATCAGACAGATTCCAAGAGGAGGAATCTACAATATGCCTCATGAATATTTGTCGAAACTGTCATGGTCATCAGAAACAAGGCAAGTTTGGAAAGCTATCACAGCCAAGAGGAGCCTAAGGAGACATGACAACCGACTGCATGTAAGTGCTATATTGGATGGGACCCTCCACAGAGAAAGGACATTAAATAAACACTAAGGAAATCTGAATAGAGTACAGACTTTAGTTAACAGTAATATGTCAAAATTCATCCTTTAATTGTAACATGTATCAGACTACTAGAAGATGTTAAGAAGGAAAACTACGTGTGTGGATGATGCTGGGTGATTCGGGAACACAGTATTATCTTCTCCATGTTTCTGTTACTCTAAGATTGCTCTAAAAATCACATCTGTTTTAAAAATTACATTCCAGTATTATACAGAGTCTACCTTTTGTAAATCACTATGCCAGCTGAAGTAGAAGTTTGCTCAGTATCAAGATTCTACTAAATCAACTATTCTCTAAAGCATTATTATTATGTTTTAAAAAATGTTTTGTTTTGTTTTTTTTTTTAGAAAGAGGGAAAAGGAAGGGAAAAAAAGGGAAAGAAAAATCTATTGGCTGTCTCTTGCCTGCCCCCAGCTGGGAGCCTGGTTCACAACCCAGGCATGTGCCCTGACTGGGAATCGAACCAGTGACCTTTTGGTTCACAGGCTGGTGCTCAACCCTCTGTGCCACACCAGCTAGGGCTATCCTCTTAAGCATTATTAACTAAGAAGTGTCAACTTTTGGAGGAAAGCTTATTACAGTGAGAACTCAGGCTATTAAAAAATTCACACTGGCCTGTGAACCAAATGATCGCAGGTTCAATTCCCAGTCAGGGCACATGCCTGGGTTTCAGGCCAGGTCCCCAATTGGGGGCATGCAAGAGGCAACTACACACTGATGTTTCTCCCTCTCTTTCTCCCTCCCTCCCCCTCTTTCTAAAAATAAATAAATAAAATCTTTAAAAAAATAATTCACACCAGAGCTATGTAACTTAACAGTGTTTAAGAGTGTTAAAACTTCTGGATGTCTTTTATGGGTTACCTAAATGTCTACAACTTTTAGATATTTTTAAAGAGATGTCAGAGTCTCCTTTAAAGAGTCAAATAATGATAATGTGGGGTCTTAATGGCCAACGAGAGTTGTCTATGGAATTCTTGAACTGACAGAATAAAGAAAACTGATATATTATAAATAACTAAAAGCACCCTGAAATCACCAAGTAAGTTATTTGGATTTTTACGGACAGCCAGGACTGTGAGCTGAGGCCCATCATCAGTGACAGAGACCCAAAGCAGACCTCTGCACAGCGCCCACACACATGCAGTGTGTAATGTCCCCGGCTCAGGGGGCCCCAGCAGGCATACAAGTCAGTACGTACCTCCAGGACACTTCTGGGAGGCAAACGGTCGTTACAATTGGTACTAGCATGAAGGAGTTCAAGAAACAGACCTGACTCCTTAAATATATAGTACAGTATTTCCTCTTTCTAGTTTGCAGGAATAACAACTACTCATCAGAGTCGAGTAGAAGCAGAGGGCAGTAGTAGTAGAACATGACTCACAAATATCCCCATTTGGAAAAGCAAGTATGAACTTTACAACTGATGCTAAATATCATTCTCACAAAAATGAGTCCCAAGTAGGGAAACTAATCCATCAGCTGGTCTGACAGTTCTGCCTAGCTCTTATCTAAAGCCTATTCTGCCCTGCTTAGGGTGAAAACTCTTAGCTATGTTCAAGGTATCCCTAAAAATATTTACCAATAGTTCCAATTACTTCAAGGAAACTTTGGTTCTGATTTCAGGAGAAAAAAAAAATATGAAAGTCATTTCAGGTCAATTTACTCTGACCAGTTAAACAGAGAAATGGACATAAGCAATGGTGCTAAAATACTAAGAACACATCTCACGGTAGCTGGGAACATGACATCTGGCCTTGCGGTGGCTCCGTGCTTCCTCTCAGTTGGCATGGGGACTAAGGACTCCACCCCGGCTCCATGACACTGTCCAGGGTTTCTACAGCCTGTGCATGAGGTTGCAGGTAGAGGGCAATTTGTGAGATCTGTGGACCTTGGAGTGATTTCTCAGCCTGGGAGGTCCTGTTAAATATTTCTTCACTTATCCCCTCTCTGAACCTTCTCACTCCGAGGGCCCCAGTGAGCTCCCTTCCTCACTCTCCATTTCCTCCACAGACGACTTCTGGCCAGGGAGTTCTCCTGCAAAACAAGGCCAAGTCTCACAACATTCCCCCCATCCTCCTGTCCCTGAAGGATACCACAGAGGTCTAGATGTTTTAAAGAAAGTTTGCTGATAGGAGCAATGAAAAGAGAAAGTTTTAAAAGGTAATTAATCTCTTCTGCTCTGTCCCTTTTTCATTTTGTTCCCTTTCTCTCTAAAGGGAAAGATAAAACACACAACACAATGCAACACAACACACACACAGGTAATAAATGGTGGGCAGAGTATTCAGAGTAAAAATTTTTCCCCAGCACTTGGATGAAGGTGAGGGGAAGGCAGGGAGAACTCTGGATGCTGCCCATGAAATCCACGCTGACGGAGAAAAAGGGAGGATGGACGTGGTGGTGAGGAAATCCTTATGTGTTTATCCCCAAAGATTTCCTACCGTCTGTCTCCGAAGACCCACCCTGAACTGGCATGAGCTGGAGTCGGGAGATGAACTACTGAGCAGCAGTGAGTCCTACCAGACAAACTCAATGGGGAAAGAGAAATGGGGCGGGGGCGGGGCGGTTTACAGCTGGTGACTGAAATGAAGGGGCATGACTGGGACGTTCACAGGAGCTGTCTTTCTATCCCAGAGAGCTGTCCTCTTCCAAGCATGTCCCCCAGGAGCCACACTTATCATTTATTCCGATGATTCTGCCACTATTTAAGTCATCTCTGGGCGGGCAGCACGTTAGCAGAGAACTGATGAAGTAATCATTACCATCACAGCTAGCGTACAGGGTTTACTATATGACAGTGTTAGCTTAAGTGCTTTACATATCGCAACTCATTTCATCCTCATAATCGCGCTAGGAACTAGGTACTATTATTATTCTCAGATACAGAAACTGAAGCACAATAAGGTTAACTAATTTGTCCAAGGTTAGACAACTAGAAAATTCAAACCTAAGCAGCTTGAAGCCTGACTCCAGAGTTTGTGCTCTTAATTCTACATATGAGGTCACGTCAGGGAAGTATTTCAGGCAGAGGAAGTAGCACGCGCAGAATTCCTGAGGTGGAAATGAGCCTGTCACAGCTGAGATTCAGCAAGGAGGCCAGCACGCTGCCACGTCTGAGAGAGGTGGTACGAGATGAGGTCACAGAGGTAACCAGGGGCCAGATAAAACAGGGAGCCTTGTGTGCAATAGTAAGAACTTGCAATTTTATGCTAAGTTATCACAGGAAGTAACTGGATTTCAAACAGAACAGACTGTAGTGGGTAAGAGTGAAATCAAGGAAACCGGTGAAGAAGCTTCTGCAATAACTTAGGCAAGAAATGATGGCAGTACAGATTAGGGAGATAGAGTTTTAGGGTGGTGAGAATATGATTCTAAGTAATTTTGAAGGCATAAAAGATATGATTTACTGACAGATTAGAAAAGAGTTGTCAGGAATGACATCATGACACTACAGTTTTTGGTGTGAGCATCTGGACAAATGGTATAACTATTTACTGAAAAGAGGGCTGGGAGGTCAGGGGGCTGGAATAGGAATTCAGTTTTGAATATGTGAAGTCTGAGATGCCTATTAGATATCCAAGTGAAATTTTTGAGTAAGCATTTGGATATATGAAGTTAAAATTCAGAGGGGCCCTGACCATTATGGCTTAGTTGGTTGGGCACAAAGCAAAAAGTCACCTGTTCAGTTCCTGGTCAGGGCACATATGAGAGGCAACCGATGGATGTTTCTCTCTCACATCAATGACTGATGTTTCTCTCCCTCTCCTTTCCTTCCCCTCTCTCTAAAAATAAATAAATAAAATCTTTAAAATTCAGGGGTAAAGTCCAACGTTCAGGGGTGAATATCAAATAGATGGCATTTAAAATCACAAGGGCTGGATAAGGTCACCTAGGAAATGTAGATGGAGACAGGAGGGCCGGGTCAGAGCCCTAAGGAGACTCATGTTAACAGTGAGAGGCTGGGGAGAGGATGAGGAGCTGGCAAAAAGGTAAGTGAGAAACAGCAGCCAGTAAGAGAAAAAACAGAAGCATGGCCATCATGAAAGGCAAGTAAAGAAAACTGTTTACCAAGGAGGGAGCCGATAACACCGAAAACACTGTGACCTTAACAAAGAGATTTCTGTGGAAACTGTGGAGTTGTTCCAAGACAGAATGAAAGAGAGGAAGGAGAGGCAGAAAGTGTAAATAACTCTTCTGAAAAGTTTTGCT